ATCAAAAGTTTCAACAATGCCATGAAACAAAATCATCATAAGTTTCAACAATGCCATGAAGGGAGTTGCATCGACCATTAAAGAAAATCATCACGTCGTCGGCAAAAATTAAGTGTGAGATGCCCAGCTCCTCTATTTTAGGGTGATAGCAATAAATCCAGAGATGTACCTCGATTTAGCAAGCGAAAAAAAAACTCCATAGCGAGGAAAAGGAGATACAGAGACAGTGGGTCACCCTGCCTTAGGCCCTTTGCACTTTTGAAGAAACCACTTGAGCTACCATTGATAGAGACTAAGAAGGTCAGAGTAGAGATACACTGAGAAATCCAATTTAGAAATTTACCAGGGATGTCTACAGCCTTGAGTACAGCAATGATGAACTCTCATCACACTGAATCAAAAGCTTTCTTTAAGTCCATTTTCAGCATTGCATGCGGCTTCACGTTCTTCCTATTATACCCATGAATAATCTCTGTTGCCAACAGTATATTCTCAGCTAATAACCTTCCCGGCATGAAAGCTGATTGAGCAGGGGAAATAATCTTGTGGAGAATTACCTGCAATCTATTAGCTAGAAGCTTTGAGATGACCTTATAAATTATATTCAGGCATGAGATCGGTCTAAAATTATTTGTGGTAGACGCACTAGGAGTTTTTGGAAACAAGCGTTGTTGCATTCCATTGTTTGAGGAGGTGACCGGATTCAAAAAACTCTGGCACAGCAGCTGTTACTTTCTCCACCCCCCCCCCCCCCCCCCCAATTACACTCCAGCAAGCCGTGAACAACTCTGCAGGGTACTCATTAGGACAACTGCTCTTATTTCTCGAGAGAGAGAAGAAAGCCTTTTTATCTCATCATTTGAGAAAGATACATCACTGCATAGGAGGTCCCTGAAGTAGATCACACAATGCTCATGGATATCCTCTTGAGAATAGATTTTGAGGCCATTGCTATCAATCAAGAAATGAATATGATTAATCGATCTTCTTGTCGCGACCATTGATATGCTCAAATTATCCCTAAAGCTACTCTTTCAAATTAAGAGGTCAATGTAGTACTTCGGATATCGAATCCACAGAGACTTAGAATCGTTGCACAGTTAATTTCAGGTTCAAATCAAGCTAAAGAAAAATAAATGAATGTAATGCAAGTAACAAAAAGAAAGCAGCAACTCGATTTTGAAGGTTTTAAATCAAAGAGAGAAACACTAGGCCTTGGGAAATTCGCAGGTGAATCCAAATTGCAAATCTATACAGAATGTTAGGAGTTTATTAAGCACTGTTCTTGAACTTGAAACACTAATATAAAACAAATCAACTCTCGCTGCAGAAATTATCTATGTCTAAATCCTAGAATTTTAAATCCCTTTGCAAATTCAAACAATTCAAACAAGCATTAAGTGTGGGTTTAATTGTTCACAAAATCTTAAACCAAATGTCTTTGCATATAGGAATTTTGCTCATCGAAGACTAGTTCTGGTGATCAATAATACTCTCGCAACTATTAATCAACCTAATATCAGATTCTAGGTCATGAATGTAGAATAAGTATTAAACACAAATCAAGATGAAGAACTCTAGGGATTTTATCCCAACAATTCAATTCAACCTAGCAATTCACCATCACCTTTGAGAAACCCTAAACCTAACAATCAAACTACTCAGACATGATCAATGAAACATAAATCATAATTTGAATAGAAAGTATAAAAGAAATCAATAAAAAAAATAAGGGAGTTTAAAATCTTCTCTATAAGAGATTGATTTGTCTCTCCAAAAACTCTACTAAAAATCTCTCTGTAAAATAAAGCTTAGGTCTAAACAATGACCTTAAAATCTTTATATATAGTCTTCAAACACGTCTTGGGGCAGTTTTGCAAATAAATGGAAATTCTAGGGCAAGCTTCCTTTCTTAAAAAATTGGCTAAAACGCAAGCAAATCTTGCCACGGTCGGTGTCGATTGACCCAAGCAGTGGTGTCGATTGACACTCAACTCCAAATTCGTCACCTGGATTAGTCTTTTCAGCAACGCTTCCACAATGCTCCAAAATGCTTTCAAATCTCCAATTATGCTCCAAACATACCTAAACCTGTAAAGACTCTAAAAGACTTGAAAAATACCAAAAATATTCTATAAAAAAAGACTTATATCATGGGCAAAAACCGGTAAAACCCATGATATATCAACTATTATGTGGAAGAAGGCAGTATTTGTGTCTCCCTCTTTGAGCCAAGCTATGCAAGCTCTCTGAGAAGAACCTACCCCTTTCTATGAACATGCAGTACTTGGGGTGGGGATCGCTAGAACCCTCTTTTGCAGATCCACCATAATATCATGCGCTTCGATCACCCTCTTCTCTAAGTCTGAGTAATTTTCCCTGCTGAAATCCCCAATTGCCTTTTAAGTGCTTTCAACTTCATTGATATTCTATACATGTAAAAGCCGACCACCGTTATAGAGCACCATTGTTCTATAATAAGCGGAAGAAACTCTTTATTCTTGAGCAGGAAGTTATAGAACTTCAAAGCTTTTTTTTCTGTCGCACAGCTTCTCGGCCTAAAACTAAGCCCCTAGACGCATGTTCAGAGAAATCTGGCTCCCCAAACAATCCAAAAGAGGATTTGAACCTAATAGACCAATGGTCATTTACCAGAATCCTGTTGAGCTTCTTTGCTATCGGATTACCTCCTCTCTTGTTCCAGGTAAAGGTGCTGCCCCTGAAGGTTAGACCAGACAAGCCTGCCCCCAACATACAGTCTTTAGAAGTTCTAGTTGATCTATCAATATTTAAAGATGCAGGAGAAGAGTGGTAATTTGGGCTCAGCACCTGATTGAAATCGCCTAAGATAGACCATGCCTTTCCTCTCACTTTTCTGATTTGCTGAAGTATGAATTAACTCTTCCCAAAGATTCTTCCTTAAGTCATCCAAATTTGCTGCATAAACAAACAATACGATTACCATGGAGTGTTGACCAGGAAGAAGGACTTCGTAGGTTACCATTTGTAGAGACTTAGAGATCACCTCCACTTTTACACTAAGATGCCGCATGATCCAAATCTTTCCCAACTCTGAGTAACCATAGTTGTCTTCAAAAGCCCAGCCGGGCAAAATACCACTCATCGGCTTTATTTGCTTTGGCCGCTTTACATGAGTTTCGATCAGACTCAAAAAATAGGCTTATTAGCCTTTACCCACTTCTTAAATCCTCTGCGGTGACTAGATATATTGAAACCGCTAACAATCCAGACAAAAAGGTCTATACACACAAAAATTATTGATGTTTGGAGCCCTTGCTCTTGAAGTTATTGCTCTGTTTTCTGGCCAAAATTTTGATGAACTTTCCTTCCTCCTCCCTTAAGGTATCATCCTCGCTTGAGTTATCTGAGGAAACATCAGAAGAGTCTTCTTGAACTTTTGATTTCTCGACAGGATTGTTTCCCTTCAGAGGTTGATTTGAGGATCCCTCTTTTTTCTTAGCCCACTTGGCATCAGGGTGCACAATGAAGCCACTGACATTGGTTTCTCCTTTCTCATCTATTGCAGTTGTTGGAGAACTTGACTGGCCTGTTTCCGAGACTTTCCCAGCTTCAAGGACAATGTGTTGCCCCTCTGACACTGTTATACTCACCTCCTTTGATCTCTGCCTTTTTGCTTTCTTCTTAGCATTTTTCATTGCATTGCTTGTTCTTTTCCTAGGGACACTGATCCATAAGGTTGGCTGTAGAGTTACAAACCTTACATGTAATTGGTGTCATTTTGCATCGCTTGATGTTGTGACCTACCTCCTTGCATTGTGCACAGATGGGAGGCATCCACGGGCTCGAGACTTTCACACGCCTAATCTCACCCGAGTCAAACTGGACATTCACCACTTCCGGCAGAGCTTTCCTAGGGTCGATGATGGTGAACACCTTAGCAACCTCTAAGTTTGTCTTGTTTGTTGTAAAGGGATGTAGGAACTTTAGGTCCCCTATAATTATAGTTATGTGCTCCAAACCTTCTTCGTTAAAGAACTGGAGAGGGACTTTCCTTAGATCAAGCTAAATTGACGCCGATGAGAGCTCTGGTTTAGCATGAATAACTTAAGGCTCCCAGTTTGTGACAAACATTGTTTGCCCTTCTATCTGGCACAACTTTTGGTTTAGGACTCTGTTTCTTTTGAACGCATTTAATATTCTGAATAGAAAAGCATTTTCTTCCATTTTTTAAAGCGTAATATCCCTGAACCGAGTCCAAATTCCATTGACTATGTTGTGGATTGTTCCCTGAGCTGGTGGATCTAAGTAGGATTGCCCAGTATGAAACATTTTCACGATTTTATGTTTTTTTCGATCACTTCATTAGAAATCTTAACACATGACTCTCTTGATGGAAGAATAAAAAACTCGCCTTTCTGCTGCAGACTTCTGGTTTGTCTCTTGACTCAATCGCACCATGAATCAGCTACCGATTTTACTGTCATGCATTTGGTGTTGCTAATTTTTTTTTTTTAGTTTCTTATCTTATCTTTGAAAAAGGTCATGGTGAGATTCGATTTAGCACTTCGATTTTTTTACTGTTGATTTATTAACGGTTTTAGTAAAAAAAATTTTTCTTTTTATAAGTTTTGTTTTCAAAAAAAAATATGTTTTATATTGATTTTATGTTCAAAAGTATGTTTTTGTTCGACGTATTTTATTTTTCTTTAAGATCGTAAGTCTGAGTCATGAAATCGAGTTGAAATGTTTGTATTTTAAGCGTTTATGATAATAATAAAAAAGTTCAGCAAAACGAATAGTGGTCATATTCATATTAGTATATATTTAACGTATAGATAAAAGAACAAGCAATCAAATAACAAAATGGTTCTATGGTCTAGTGGTTAGGACATTGGACTCTGAATCCAGTAACCCGAGTTCCATTCTCAGTAGAACCTCTAACTCTTTTAACGTTTCCTTTTACTTTTTTGTAAAAACACCTAGACTCCCACGTGCAACTTAGTCAACGGTCATACAACTCACAAGTACGGTATCAGATCCAGTAAGAAAGAGTGGAAACTAGAACTTTCAAACGAACCCCCAACCTTTCCTTGTTTTTCCCGGCCTTTCAATAAGAAAGAAACCGAACAGAAAAACCCAATCTCCAAGAATTACAATTTACAAAATCCAGGTTTAACCAAAAAAAAAAACCAAAATTAAAAAAGAAAAAGTGAATTACAGTTCTAACTCCACCACTCCTAATCCCCAAACAAAAAGAAAGGAGAAAATAAAAACTCTAAAAAAGAAAAACAAATCCTCCCTCCATCTAACACTACTTACTACCTTGAGGACTCTCTTTGCCTCGGTTATTATCGACACAAAGAATCGATGAAACGAATCGTAAATTTTTATCCTCTCTAACACTCCGTTTAGCTCTCACCGGTGAGCTTATAAATCTTCCCCGAAAGCCGTCGCAGGCTCCGGCACAATCTCACTAGACTGCCGTCTCCTAGAAGATGAGTTCCCATTGTTATTGTTCCTTCCACTGCTCCCTTGCGACCCAGAGTTTCTCAAACCGTTACCACCACCACCACCGCTTGTTGCTCCTCCCGCTTGAGCCGCCGTTACATCCGACGCGCTCTGCCTCCAGCTGCCGAATATAGCAGCGTTCCAAGACCCTCTTGACGAGTTTGTTCTCAACCTTGAAGAGCCAGAGCCAGAGTTGTTATCCTCTCTAACTACTTTCAACGGGTTCTCAAGCGCGTTCACAATGTGTCTCATTAATGGCCGTCTTGTTGGTTTTGGGTTTAAGCAAGACTTTGCTATAATAGCCATCGCCCATACTTCTTCTAGCAAGTCCTCGTCCACCATTAATGAAGGGTCCAAGATCTTGGTCACTAGCTCCTTCTCGTTCGTGCTGATGTATTGCAGAGCTTCTTCCATGTATGCTTTCGCTTCTGCGTTTTCCGGCGAGCTTATCCCGAGCTTCCCCGTCACTAGCTCAAGTAGCACTTTCCCAAAGCAGTAGACATCATAGGAACATGTTGCATTTGCTGCACCTAAAGAGAGAAAGGATCAATCAAATGGCTTCACAATACAGTACAAGATTTAAAACTCCAAACAATACAAGATTTAAACTAAGTTTATATCGTACCTGAAGAGGATGGTTCAGTGGATCTGCAAGAAGGAGAAGTATTAGTAAAACTCTAAAAGCATTTTAAAGACAACATACAGAGTCAGGTAAGGGAATCACAAAAACCATAGAGGGGATTGTCACTTACTGAGGTAACCGGAGTAAACGAGAGATCCTGCTTTGATAAGCATCACCTTGAGGATATGCGTCGCTTAGACTTCCAAGGCGTACCTCGAATTTATCATCAAGAAGTATGCTACTTGCTTGTACATCCCTATATAAACATTCAACACACAAACATGAGTACTCTCGCTTCTGTGTTCAGTGTTCATTACGCAATACGGCAACATTTAGAACCTCTCCATCTATGAGGCTAAACACTAACAAAATCATAGATATACCTCAATTCCAATGAACATGAAAGACTATATGATACTAGATATAGAATCAAGAAATTACATCCATGAAAGATTCGTTTTGTCAATGCTATTTCACAAGAATCAAGAATTGATAAAGAGAAGTTGAGCAGGAGAGGTTACCTATGAACTAGAGGTGGAGAACACTCGTGATGCAAATAAGCTAAACCCTCAGCTGCACCAAGAGCAATCTTCAACCTCGTTATCCAATCCAAAGACTTCAACCCATCGCCTTCGTTATCTGATTTCCTGAACAAAGAGCTAGACAAATCTCCGTTCCTCATGTACTTGTACACAAGTATCTTTTGGCTCTCATTCTCCAAACAATGTCCAAGAAACGGAACCAGCCTCTGGTGTCCAGCTTTACTAAACAACTCAAGCTCTGATATATACCCTTCGCTTTTACTCTCCCGCGTATCGATCTTCTTGATAACAATCGGTGTGCCGTTCTCCAATAAACCGCGGAACAAACTCCCCGAATGGCCACGTTTTATCAGTCTTGCCTCATTGAACTCCTCTGTTGCCAGGAGAAGCTGATCATACGTAAACGCATTCCCAAGACGCGACAAGTCAAAAGTCTGTGCTCCTTTAGGTGGCTGAGAAGCCTCTGTAACAGGTTTAGGTCTATCATCGTTTCCTCTCTGCGCTCTTCTCCTTCTCCTGCGTATACATAGAGCCACAAGAATCGGCAAGAGAACAAAAGCCAGAATGAAACCAACTCCTCCACCCACTGCTGCTAATATAATCACTGTTCTGCGACTTATCCCCGAAGAAGCCTTTCCCGAAGTAGGTTGTGTAGAATTTAGGCGTCCGAAATCATCAAAGTCTAGTCCTCTAGACTTATAGAACGACGAACAAACCTCCAATGACTTCTGTCCCTTCACATCTTGAAGGCAGTTTCTAGTAACAGACACATTTGCCCTGAGCGCGTAATTCGGAACCTTACCTTGGAAATAGTTACCAGAGATGTTCATGTCCTTGAACCTTCTAAGAATCTCTGTGAGCTCCCCGTAGAACGTGTTCAAGGAGATATCGACCACTTCAGCAGATTTCTGGTTTGTTTCGGAGCTAGAATTTGGGAGCAGACCCGTGAAGTTGTTCTTGGCAATGTCGAGAATCCGCAACTTAGGCAACGACCAACACTCGTCAGGTAAGCTACCGAAGAAACCATTCTCTCTTAAAACCAAAGTCTGTATTTGGCTTTCACCAGAGAACAAATCAACTGGTAAAGTTCCAGTCAAGAGGTTATCACCAATCACCATTTGCTTCAACTTCCTTAACTTTCTCAGCTCTTTAGGAACTGAACCGGACAACGCATTGATGCTGAGATCAAGGTCAACAAGATTGACAAGATCTCCGAGCTGTGGAGGAATCGGAGACGAGAAGCTATTGCTTGAGAAATTCAGATAGAGAAGCTTCGAGAGCGATCCAACACCTGGTGGGATTGGCCCGGTAAGGTAATTCGAAGAGACATCAAGAGTTGTGAGATTCAGCAACGAGCTGAAAGATGGAGGAAGAGCTCCAGTGAGTGAGTTCCAAGAGAGGTTAAGCTCTGAGAGATTCGACAAATCACCTAAACTACTAGGAACCAAACCGGTGAGACTGTTACGAGACAGATTCAAGCTCCTCAAGCTAGTGAGGTTACCAAGAGTGAAAGGAACAACACCACTCACAGAGCAAGAACTAAGATCCAAGACTCGCAATGTCGATGACAAAGCAGGACCGAACCAGTCAGGGACAGAACCGGGCAATGAGAATCCAGATGCGTTGAAATAAGCTAAACGGGTCAGGTTACGGAGCGGATCAACGGCGAATTGTGGGTTCTGCTTACCGATTCTCGTCCTCCTGAAACCTGAAATGTTGATCCCAACGATACTTCCGTTATCATCGCATTGTATCCCTCTCCACACACCACAAGGATCGCCTTTAATCGGCCAATCGTTTCCTCTTAAACCGAGAGAAGACCGGAGACGGAGCAGAGTGAGCCGCTCCTCGAATCGTGTCCGTGATTGCGCAGCGCAAACACAGTCGAGGAAGAGTAACAGCGACAACAATGGCGGCACAAAAGCCAATGCGCTTCTCCGACGATCAACCATTGCTTTATCTCACAACGCTCATCATCATCATCATCATCACTAGAGAAAACCCAAATCAACCCTAGAATTATAAGCAAATACCCAATTAAACCCTAGAAACAATTTCAGATTTTTGGAGAAGACAGAGACAGATATCCAACTGGTTTTCCTCTGTATCTGGATCCAAATACAGTTCCTACCTTCACAGACATTAAAGCACCTCTCTCTCTCTCTCTTTCTCTCTCTTTTCTTCTATCTCTAAATCCTAATTCCTGAGCTCAGAGTAAATAAAATCAGTAATCCTTAAAAATCGAACAAAACTAGCGATTTGTGTAAAAAATCTTAGAGAGAGAGAGAAGATCGAGATTGTTGAGAAAAACAACTGTAGACTGTGACACTCCTCTCGTCTTTGCAAGAAACTTCGAAATTAAAAAAAAAAATAAGGATTAAAGTAAAATTAGTACTCCAATTAATCAGTGTAATGTAACAGTTCACATAAGGATAATAATATCTGCTTTATTGTAGTTTGAAAATTAGCATTAAATTAAACATAGCTGGTGTCAAGTGACGTCGTTTTATTGTTTGGTTTGACTTTCCCGGTAATCCCGCCCGAAGCCAGCTAAGCTGTTGCCGCAATTACTATTCCTATAAAAGGTTGGGAACAAAAGTTCCTTTTTTCTCTTTCTTTGTTTATATTTTTATTATTTCAAAATTAATGTTTTTGTTTCAGAATTCTTTGATTATACGAATGATTCATTTACTATTATTATTATTACTATATTATTTTATTATAAATTACAAAACAAATTACAAAATAATTTATATAAACTACTAAAAGAAAATAATTCTTAATAAATGTTTAAAAGCTATCATGGTATTTATAATATATGACACTGTATTTACTAGAAAATATTTTAATTTTATTAAGAGTATTTTTGTCTTATCATTTTTGTCATAATGTGAAAGATCATTATAAATCTAATGCACTACCATACATATGATTAATTGGTTTAGTCTATTAACTAAAAAAATATTGCACTAAATTCAGACAAAAATATTTTTAAAAAATCTGAATTTTGAGTAAATTTGGCAAAATTATTGTTAGGAATTTTAAGATTATTAGTAAAGGTTTAAAGCCATTTGAAAATTTTAAAAAGTGAGATTTTTTAGTTTAAATTACCAAAATAAATTAAAAACAAAATGCATGAAATTTTTTTTGAAGGGAACATTTCAGATAAATATATTTTAAAGAAATCTGATATTTAAATAAATTTTGCAAAATTATTGTAAGAAATCTTAAGATCATTAGTAAAAATTTCAGAACATAGACAAAAACACAAAATTTATGAATGTAGATGTGCTTCAAATTTTTTTCACGAGATTGTATTGTTAAGTGAAATTTAAATTAACAATTTTAATTTAAACGATACTAACATAACTGAGAAAAACAAGAGTTTAGAGTTCATTCTGGAGAATAGCTCGTGAATCGTGAAAAAGAAAGAGCATGAGATCAAGTTTTACGGATCACATTTACGGGTCAGATTTTTTCCGTGTCAGATTGTAATTGGTTTCTCTTTCGGTTTTTGCGGGTTTCGTCCTTTATTTTGATTTACATATAGATATAACCCGTGAAATTATTTAATTTTACATTAGAAATAGATAGATAGCTACTATTTTTAATAAATATTCAATAAAATACTTATTTGCCCATCAATTTTTAGAAAATTAGTCCATCTTACTCCTACTCCTTCAAGCTGAAAAATTTAAATTTATACACATGTGTTTTCAAACTTTGTTAATTTATCTAATTTTTTATTTATGGGCAGATTATTATCCATATAATTAGAAAATCAAATTTTCATTTTAAAATAAAAAATTAGAATTAATATAATAGTTGGCTCATAATCAGAAATTTAAGAAATATATCAACTAATTAGAAAAAACCAACAAATATCGACCAAAATTAATAATACCTTATAAATATGCTTTTGGATAGTCATTGTTCAACTTTCATTTATTTCTACATATTCTGACTTTACTGAAATATACATTTCCAAACAAAGAGAGAAATTATAATCAAAAATTAAAATTATCAATACATCTCAAATTTTATTCAAATATAATTTTCGAATTAAAAACAAAATTTATCGTTGGCAGGTTAGAATCATGACTTAAAACTATTATTAACACGTTTTAAACTATATACAAATATATTTTCCATATTAAATAACTGTTACAAGTGAATTAGAATCTAAAATTAAAATTATCAACACATATCAAATCTTATATAAATATTTTTTTCTTACAAAAAAATGACTACATGCGGGTTAGAATCAATACTTAAAAAGTTAAAATCATCAACACATCTCAAACCATACTCAAATATATTTTTCATAAAATAGAAAATATTCAAAAGATAATAATATAATAACAACATACAATGCACAGCAAATACCAAAAACAGTAATTTTATACTTATCATCTATGGCTGATGGCAAAAGACTCAAACAAGATAAAGATAAACAAAAAAGTATAGATGATAAGCAACTCAAAACTATCAAACAATGTTTCTTATTAACTGTTGACGAGTTAATATGTTAGAAATTAAGCTATAAATATTAAATACTAACAATTAAAATAGAAAGAAAATCTGCATTAAAAAACTAAAATAAATGATGAATGAAAAATATATTATCACATATAGGTTATAATCTATGCTAATATATATATATATATATATATATATAAATATTCAATTCTTTTGGTTCTCATAAATAAAATGAAATAAAAATCTAATCTAATACAAATGGACTAGAATTTAAATAAAAATTTAGAAAAAAACATATCCCAAACAAATTGAATGAGTTGTTTTATTAACATCAAAAATTATTGTCGAATGGAGCAAAATGAAAAAAAAAAAACTATGTGCATAGCGCGAATCTATAATCTAGACAAAATTTTGGTGAATGAGTTGAAATGTTAGGGATTAGTTTGAGAGGAAACTTTCTCAATTTTAGATTAAAAAAAAATCATTTTATTGTTTAAAAAAAAGACAGACTCTAAGATAAATCGAATCACTTTTCATTTAGACCATAATATTGGATTTGATAACATAAGCCGACTTTTGCTGTAGACCAAAAAAAAATTGTGAAAACAAACCCGTGCAAAATGGGTCCAAAATCTAGTATATTGTACAAGGATGCACAACAAATAATTTTGTTGCATACACTTTATATTTACTATAGTTTTGTTTCTATTAATCTGCATAAATTGTATCAATTAGATATTCAACCCTATATTTTAGATATTCAACCCTATATTTTCTAGCGTATAAGTATTAACTCTTGTTTAGAAATTTGTTGGATGTTAATCGAATGCTTGGTTCCTATTTAACATTTTTTTACAAAAATTAAAATAAACTAAAAAAGTAATTAGAAATAAATTTTTATATTTTTATATAATTTTATGGTTTATATATATATATATATATATCGTGAGTCAGCCCTAATAGTAGAGAAAATCGCATGAAAAACCTTCAAAGTGACATCCACTTATACTTTAAATCTCGATAATTTTTAACTAACACTTTAAACCTTCAAATTAAGTTATTTAACACATTAAACCATCAATCTAGCTTCTTTGGTTGCGTCAGACATTTTTGTAGACGAAGCGGTTGGCTCAAATAACGAAATACATTTTCCAGCGACAACATAGTGATTTTCCAAATATGAAAATCAAAAATATCCGATTGAAATTGATAAATCATATCCAAAAACTATTTACGCTATCTGGAACTAGGCATGTATTGTGGGTCGAATCCACCCCGCCTAACCCGCCCTGCAGAGGATTTGTTTTTATTTTGATCCGCTTCAATCCGCACTGCAAAATTTTTAAACATAAAATATTTGACCCGCATCCACCCGCTTGAGTTTACGAATATCCACGAATAACCTGCAAATATTTAAATAAATAAAAAACTTAATTTTATATAATTTTAGAAACAGGAACATTTAAAAAAAATCAAATACTATAAAATATAAATATACAACTTTTTAATGATCTAAAAGAAAATTATTAGCAAATATATACATATATTACATAATATTACAAAATTTTGATAATATTTTCAATACAACATTTTTTTTATATAAAATAGTGATTTTAAAAAAATTAGCGGGTAACCCGCGAACCCGCAAAAGAAAAATGAAGAACCCGCACCCACCCTGCAGTTTAAAACTACCCATCCCACAAAATCCGCATTTTCCAAACAAATCTTTTTTTTGATCCACACCCGCCTGTAGCAGGTTTTATTAGCGAGGCGGGACCCATGGTTAAAGAATCAAATTCCCAGGAATACCTAAAATCTAGAAACTTATAATTATGAAATCACAAACCCCATCTTAAATCATCCGGCAGAAAGTGTGATTTACGTTATTTTGACTCCAATGCATTTGTAAATCAGTTAATTCAACTTATGTTCTCATTTTTTGTAATCTGAGAAACTATATATTGTCACCAAAAATGTATTATGTTATCTAAGCTAACGGCTTTGTCTAAAAAAATATTGATGCAGCCAAAAAAACTAGATTGATGGTTTTATTTGTTAAGAAAATTAATTTGATTTAATGTGTTAGTTAAAAACTCTCGAGGTTTAAAATGTAAGTGATTACCACTTTGAAGGTTTTTATGCGATTTTCTCTCTAATAATACATGGGCAGCAAGCAAAAAATAATTATGAGGCTGTGAAACTAAGGGATATTATAGTTTAGAGATTTTTATTAAAGAATTATTTTTTCAAAAAAATAATAATTTAGAATTTTTTAATTAATCGGAAACTATAGTTTTTAGTTGTATAACTCACTATAAATCTATGGTTAAACTGAATTTATATCTCGGATCTATAGTCTTTATTATCTAGATTTGAAGGGGTTTTATTTTATAGTTATTTGATATTAGAAAGAATTTATATTTATTAAGGTCAAATTTTTGCTTTTAACTTGAATTGAATTTGACAAAACCATATGAATACTTTTTTTAGTGTAGATTTATTGTTAACCAATTTTTTTGTTTTTTATTTACTTGATTTTTAATTTAATTTTATATTTTTAAAAGTTTTTTTTAAAAAGCTCTATAACCATGTTATGATTAGCCCGAACTTTAGAACTTAAGAATATTTGTTGAAAAAGTGGTAGATAGTTTACTTATTTTAAGAGGAGCCACAAGTACCTGCTTATTTTGCTTCGCTTCAGGGCCGGCTCACATGCCTTAAATATTTGCTTTTGAATTTTTTAAACTCCTTTATAGGATTATTGGGAGATGGATTTTAAAAATTCTATGATTCTATTAAAATTAGGTTTTTTAAGTTGAGCTCATTCGAATTTATAAAGGGTCTGACTGGTATGTCAAATGAATAACATAAT